CCCCCCCCCCCCCCCCCCCCCCAAAGCCACACCCATCAAGTCACACCAAGCCACACCCACAGATCTAGTAGGGAAAAAAATAGACCAGAGAGCTGACTTTTTCCATCAGAGATGAAAACAGAGGTGGTATTCAGCCGGTTTGGACCAGTTTGGACCGAACCAGTAGCGGAAATTTTGAGTAGTTTGGAGAACCGGCAAATCTCACCTCTGGCTGGCCACAGAGTGGGGAGGGAATGGAGATTTTGCAGTATCCTTTCCCTGCCACGCCCACCAAGCCACACCACACCCACCAAGCCACGCCCACAGAACCGGTAGTAAAAAAAAAATGAATTTCACCACTGGTTTGGACTGAATATATTGAGAGAATCCAGATTTAAATTTAAGTCCAGTATATTTCAATCCCACGGTGATTTAAACCACAAACCCATCACTTAGCAAGGTGAATGAAGTATGTCTGTGTTTCTCAACCTTGGCAACTTTAAAGATGGGTAGAAATCACTTTTTTTATTGCCGTTGGTTCCCTAAATGGATGGTTGTAAGTCGGGGACCACCTGCACAACCATAAGGCACAGCTGAGGTGAAAAGGAAAAGGGGTGCGTTGAAGAAGAGGGGGCGCAACGGAAGCTTCTGGGGAGAAACAACATGTGAACCAACAACTTCTGAAGCCACAACTTCTCTAAACCCCCTCCCACCCCTGGTGAGGGTTGGTGAGAGCAAAAGGGATGTGTGTTTGTGTACCTGTCTGTCTGTCCATCTCTGTGTGTGTGCATGTGTGTGAAAGGGCTTAAGCAAAGCTCAGCTGTGTTGTGCTCAATGCAGCCAGGGGGCTAACAATGAATTCTTTGTGGGCCTTTTTGTTGTGAAGTGTGGGCTACTCACTCAGCTTCGACGGCTGGGAGGCTATGATCTCAGGGAAAGCGGTGTGAGTGTGTCCCACGCACAAGCTCCCAGCTGGCTCAAGTGGGGCTGTTGAAAGCTATTCTCGAGCCCCGAAGCACAGCAGGAGGGGGGGAGGAGTAACGGAGGGTCTCCTTGGGGTCCCTCAAGGAGACAGATCCTCTGTAAGGCAGATCTCCTGTTTGCGTCCTTCTGCTTTTTCTTGAGTGAGGCTCTGAAATGCTCCTTGGCTATCTTGCAAAAGGGGGCTTTGTGTTACACGCTCACTAACAACATGACTGGCCAAGACCTGGTAGAACCTGGATGG